TTATCATCTGAAGAAGTGGGTTGTGTCCACAAAAGCTCATTATGCTATCTATATTTTTGTTAGTCTCTAAGGGTATGTCTACACTACAGAGAAAGATCGAAGCTGCCACTGTCAATCTTCCAGGGTTCGAATTAGCAGGTCTAGTTAAGATAGCTAATTCAAACTAAGAGAGGCACTCCATTCAATGCCAGTAGTCCTACTTCCATAAGGAGTAAGGGAAGTCGAAGGGAGAATGTTCTCCCTTTGACTTCTTGCAGTGTGGATAGTGCCAAAAGTCAAGTTAAGGTCCTTCTACTTAAGCATTCAAATAATGTTGTGTATCTTAATTCAACCTTGTCCCATAGTGTAGACATACCCTAAGGTGCTGCAGGACCACTAGTTTTTTTTTAAAGTTTTTTTTTAGTTACAGACTAATATGGCTACTCCTCTTATACTGGGATACTTCATTTAGTCTTCAGAATTCATTGCAGAATCTCGTGGTACCATCTAGCTTGTACTCTTGAACAACTGGGCTATGAGATTCTTGAAGGACCTTCAGCTAAGGATGTTAAGGACTAGTCGATTATCCGATAAGTAAGGCAGTGCCACGCGGAACCCTAGGGAAATGCCACGCGGAACCCTAGGGAAATGCCACGCGGAACCCTAGGGAAATGCCACGCGGAACCCTAGGGAAATGCCACGCGGAACCCTAGGGAAATGCCACGCGGAACCCTAGGGAAATGCCACGCGGAACCCTAGGGAAATGCCACGCGGAACCCTAGGGAAATGCCACGCGGAACCCTAGGGAAATGCCACGCGGAACCCTAGGGAAATGCCACGCGGAACCCTAGGGAAATGCCACGCGTAACCCAGATGATTCCGCGTTCTGCTGAAATGCTGCACGGAGCCAGGGATCAGCTGGGGTGTCCCGAGCTGACCCCGGTCTTCATGGCGCTGCCCCTTTGAAACACTGAGGTGGCATTTTAAAGGGGCAGTGCTGTACAGCTGAGCCGGGGATCAGCTGTGGGCGCTGCCCCTTTGAAATGCTGAGATCAGTGGATGCCTTTATCACAAACAATAGGAAAGGTTGTTAGGCAGAAGAGATGGCAGTTTTTCCCATCTTTAGTCACTGTTTTTCATATTACGCTTTTCAGTGTAGCACCTGAGATGGCCATCAGTTTGTGGGTGGTAGACCAAGGTCTTAGGGCCTGTATTTAAATCATTGCAGACAGGTCCTTCATTAATTTGAACATCAAGGTAGTCCTTTAATCTGTCAGAATCTCCTTCAGTACTTGGATTAACTTCCTTGCTATTGTCTTGGACATTGTGTTTTGCTGGGGTACCACTTTTAGGTGCCAGATAGCATTGCCTGGAGCCCTGCACAAAATTGATGATCCCTGTCTGATTTCTCCAGTGAGTCTATTAAATGGGACTTGAATAATAATAGGCAGGTGTACTAAAGGAGCCCTTAGTTTAAGTTGTGGGCTGTACAATGGGCACTCCAGGCAGGAGGTACAGTAGTATCAGAAATCACTATTAGCTCCTGGCTAAAAAAAACTTTTGTAGGATACTATCTAGGAGTTTATCTGCCCCTAAATATCCCTCCCACCCCCAATGACTACGTCCTATAGGCACTTCCTCAGTTCATTAAAGCAACAGTCTGTATATGATTAATTTTAACTGGCCATGTATATCTATTTGGAGTCATAGGGAGTGAAAGTGGATGAGATGGCATAGGTATACACTATCACCAAGATTGCACTCTGTGAGTTCCTCAGTGTTAGAGTTTTGAGCTGCAATATGTCCTAATTCTTCACAAATATAACATCTATACCTGCCACTGGTTATCCTCCATGCTTTGGGCTATTGTAACACTACAGGCTTCTCCCACCTCTGGTTGCTCTTTTGCATCCCTCCTCTGCAAACTTTCAGTGATCCAGGCAGGGATTGACTGCTTGGTCAGATGTATCTCTTCTCCAGTAGTCAGAGAAAGCTCTCTGGCCATTAAATGCCTGTTTACAATAGTGACCAAATCATTGTAAAAGAGTCATTTTCGCCAATCCACCCTTGTAGGTCTGGTGGAAATCCCCTCAAGAATCTGTCCAAAAGCAAAAGTGTTGTGATGTGTTCTGTACTGCAGGTCTCAGCATACAGACACTTCATATTAGATGGATCAGGTTGGACAGCTGGCACTTTGCTCTCCTGGTGCCTCAACTTGTGAAATCTTTGGGCCCTTATGGATGTAGTTGCTCTCAACTTTCAATTTGAAATAGTTTAGCAGCTTCCCCTGTCATGTCATAATAGGTCTTTTAAGCCTCCCCAAACAAGAAAGGAGCAATGATATTGACCCACCTGTCTCACAGTAAGACCTTGTTTAGGGTGGTTCTTTCATATGTGAAGAGATATGACTTGATATGATCTTTTGCTGTGAACCTTTGCAGATAATGCTGGCACTTCCTACAGCAGTGCCTTCACCATGCTGTTCATTCTCAGGAACAATCTACCTTGCCCCCTGGGACAGTCTCATTATCAAATCCCACATGTGGCAGGGTACCTCCTTTTATTTTTGTTGGTCGCAGCATTTCTTTTTTGAAGAGGAGGGGAAACCTGGATATAGTTAGTCTGACTCCAGAGGATTTTTTCCTTCAGTTTGCTTTATATTTCCTTATTTACCCAGTGGGGCCACAGGGTAGGCCTAAGAATTTCTCTAAAGCAAATATTGAAAAAATACCCAAATTCACTAAACAATCAGAAATGCTTTTCCTTGCCCCCTCTCCAGGTTGTTGTCCTACTACACTGGAATCTAGTTGAGAGCCATTGACAGCTGTTACCTTAGTTTCTTTCCATATAGGGAGAGGAACAGCTTTCCACCCAGGGGATGCCTTTTCTTCCTGCTGCTGCCACTACACCTGGTGCAGCTTGTCTCTGAGTTCTCATTCTCGTGAAGAATCACAGTCACCATGTGTAACTGGTTTTGGTGTACTCTAATCTTGACCTCAGTTTATAAATATAACCAAAGCTCAGAAATTTAAGATTTAGTGGGAAGTCACTATGAAATTTAGCTTTTCCATATAATATAACTCATGATCTTAGTTTTTAAGATCTTGGTTGCTCAGCACTGAACCTACTACATAAAATAATATCTCTGGGTATGTCTATTCAGCAAAGTTATTTCAAAATAACAGCTGTTATTTCGAAATAACTTTACCAGCATCTACACAGCCAAACTGCTATTTCAAAATTAAATTGAAATAGTGGAGGGCTTATTTCAAAATTGGTAAACCTCATTCCACGAGGAATAGCACCAATTTCAAAATTGCTCTTTCGAAATAAGCATTGTGTAGACACTTATTTCGAAATAGGGGGCCTCCAGCCCTTCCCAGGGTGCCCTAGTGGCCACTCTGGGCACAACCAAGAAATCTTTTCTCCCTCCCCCTCTCCCTGGAGCCCTTAAAGGGTACCTTTAAGCAGATAGCCTCTGGCAGCAGCCACACAAGGTAACTCCTGACCTGATACCCTGCCAGAACTGGTTCTGGCTGGCCTTAAATGCGATTCAACATCCTATCAATGTGGATGCGCTATATCGAAATAGCAAAACGCTATTCACCCTGCTGTAAGAAATAAACAGATATGAATTATGTACTTAGGTCCCATTAGGTGTAAAGATGGAAATAATGTCAAGAAAGTTGTCACAGAAGGAATTGTGATGAATCGTAGTAGGGGCCAACCGGCGAGGAGATGGATAGATACTGTGCAGCAGATCACAGAGAGATCAGCTGCCAAGTGCTCAAATATAGCAATGAAAGGCTTCTGAAAATTCATATTAAGACATGAATAAAATGGTTTTACTTATTGACTTATTTATGTTCTGTTTACATTTGTATTATGGTCTCTTGATGCTTATAATCCAATACTATTAATAATACTATTAATAATTTCTTACCAAATGTACTACTTATTGGGAAATTCCCATTTTTACTTCCTTTGTTGTGTGATTGAAGTGTTTAGTCATGGTTGGTTGGAAAACATGTATCCTTATTCTTCTGTATGATAATTAGTGAAGAGAAAGAAGAGCTGGTAGTGTCCTGCATCAGATGTAAACATTCCTATGATTGGTTGGATACCTGTGGATAGGTCAATGGATGAGCTATGTGTGGAATGAAACGTAAGCTAGTCAAAAATGGAAAACCTGTTTCCTTGGACTTTGTAATATATTTGCTTTCTGGGAGAGGTATGTTTTTATTTGGTTTTGTTTTTAATTAACTACATATATAAGCTGAGGTTCAGAAACGTATACACTAAGCTAGTAGCTGCTATCGCTATCTCTATGCTTGGAGATATTTGAATGGAATGGAGATACTTAGATGAAAATGTGTGTGCACATAGCAAGTACACTGATCATCATTTTTAAAAGACACTGTTTAACCTACAGACACTAGCATTCATAATTTTGTTCTTGGAATTTTCCGATGTCACTTTTTAGTTGCAATGCTGAGTTTTATTAAGCATTATAGTTACAAACTTTCTTCTGCATCACGAAGTTGTTTTATAAAGAGTAATTCTGTTACCTTTGTGAAAAATATTAATTGATTTTATTTTTGCTAAATTGAAGATTACTGATAAACTACTGTGTTTAATTAGCTATAACATATACTGCAAGCTACTCCTCTACAGCTGTGTTTGTCGAAGTGGTTCACGGATCCACTCTGAGAAAGCAGCTAATGGGTTGCTCCAGGTCGTTTACTTACTAGTTCCACAGCCACAGAGCCTTGCAACTCCCATTGACTCTGGTTCACCGTTTGCAGCCAAGAATAGCTGTGGGAAGCAGTGGGCTGTGTCACACTTTGACTGCTTATTTTTCATTGGTTTAATATTCCTTGTATAATTACATATTCTATGTTATTCTAAGCATAAATTCAAAAAATGAAAAATTTTATGTACTTTAATATTAAAAATAAAACTTGCTTTTTCATAAGTTAATCCCATTTTTATATTTGCTATTTCCTTTCCATTTATTTCAGGTTTTGGAAATGGAGTGGGGAGGTGAATATTCTCTTGATTCTTCCAACTTAGATTGTTTATTAAACATTCTTCCTGGGGACCTGGAGTTTCAACAAATCCTCAGTGACATTGATGAGAAAATAAAGAAAAATTCTGCTAGGTAAAAGATTTTAAACTTTTTTTGTCCAATGTATCAGTGAGCCATTTACATTTTTAAGATTTATTTTCTTTCTTCTTTTTGTGGTGATATTGTAGAATATTGAAAGTTATTTCACTACTGGTTTTGCCTTAATTCAGCCAACACTTGTGGGGCTTTTTCATGCCTTTAGAAGTTATTAGCTACTTTTTTATTTGTTTCAATCTGTATAGGTAATATTAATAGCTTGAATCCTCACAGAACTCGAAAATTGTCAATTTGTTGTGATACAGAAATGAAGAGAATATATATTTTTAGTGTTCTCAGACCTCAGACATGGGGCTGGGTTGAGGCTGAAGTTTGCTTTTATTTTATTTCTTGGTAAAAGAGCTATAAAATTTGATAAGTTTATAGAATATAAAGGTAGTCTTTAACATCATAGAATAATTTTAATAAAATGTATTTCTTCCTAAAGCAGTGGTCTCAAAGTGGTCCACAGATCCACTCTGAGCAACCTGCTAATTGGCTGCTCCTGTTGGTTTATTTACCAGCTTCACAGTCACAGAACCTTGTGGCTCCCATTGGCTCCAGTTTGCTATTTGCAGCCAAGGCAAGCTGTGGGTCATGGCAGCCCGTCCCAGGCTGCTTCCCACGACTCCCCTTGGCTACAAACAGCAAACCGGAGCCAATGGGAGGCGTGAGCCTCTGTGGCTGCAGAGCTGGTAAATAAACATGTGGAAGATGCCAGTTAGCAGCTTTCTCAGAGTGGATCTGCAGACCATTTTGAGAAACATTGTTCTAAAGTGAAGAAAGTGACTTTATCAATGTTCATTATAAATAAACCATTAACTTACTTATTCTAAAGAAAATTTTCATATTGGAATAATAGCAGAAGACTTTTTAATCTGCATATGTTTTGGAGTACACTTTAAAACATTTGTGGTAAATGTTTCATTACAAAGAATGGGTAAATCTGTTATATTCTTTTAGTCAAAAAAGATACACACAATGCTTCTATTAATCAGGAATTAATCTTTGCTCTGGCTTGGACTTTTCTATGACCAAGTCACTTAATAATTCTGTGCCTTAATTGTCACTTCTGTAAAGTAAGAATATCTTCCCCGCAGTCGTGGTGTGGCTAAATACATTAATATTTGTAAAATATATGGAGATTCTTGGATGAAAGATGCTGGGTCTGGCAAATACTCCTGTCACTGTTTAGAAAAATAACATTTACCCACTGCTACAACAGAAATTTCTTGTTTTGAGGAATAACTGGAATTTTAGATATAACTCTGGATAAATACTATCTTTTTAAGAGTAATGATTGTACTATTATCCCTTGTACATCTGAAGTATGCAGCAGGGATCCAACTGTGCTATAGAAAGCATTTCTGAGACTTCAGAGGATACCTTTGATGAAGTGTGATTTAGGATGGTATAACTTAATAATGAGGCCCTCCTGGGTAGGAGGACTTTATCTACTGCTCACAAAACTATCCACCTTATTCAGGAAGCAGTCCTTTATAATATACACCCACAGAAGCTATATTTTACATCTCTTTCTTTTTCTGCTGAAGTTAATCTAGCAGAAAACTAAGTCCTCCCTGAGCTACATATTCTATCAGGTTGCTAGTCAAGATCACAGACTTCCTCACTCTGTTTTTATGATTTACTAGAGAATTTACCTGGCATTGCTTGGGTCCTTCAGAGCAGGGGGCTACAGGGGTACTGGAGCAGGGCAGGGGTTTGGGGATTTGGGGAGAATCAGGGCAGGAGGCTAGAGGTGTGTGGGGGGAGGGTGCAGAAGTCGGGTGGGAAGAGTGGGAGAGCTCAGGGGAGAGATGTGGGAAGGCTGAGAGGAAGAGATGTGAGGTGGCTCAGGGCAAGGGGTGGAGGTGCAGGAGTCAGGGCAGTGGGTCAGGGAGTCTGGCAGCTGCTTCCCAGGGCTGCCGTTGCACAGCAAGGACCACTGTGCTCAGCCGCTGGGCTGGACTTGGGCTGTGCAAGCCAGGTTGCCCAGCCATCAGCTGCTCCATAGCTCTCTGGGACTGCAAGGGCACACTTGCTTGCTAACCCTCTGTGGTCATTCTGGAGCGTAACTCCCCTGTGCTTGCTGCCCCTGTTATTCTGCAGTATAACTGTTCTTGCTATTACAGTCCTCCCTTTCCATTTGATGTGAAACAATTGCATTCTACACCCGTCCTATTTTCTTGGCATTACCAAACCCTGACCTTGCTTTAAGTTATGGTAAGAGGAAGCTGCATACTAAATTTGGTGGTCCTAGCTTTTACCATATAGGAAAAGTTCTTGAACAAACAGACTCACAGAGAAACACAGAAAACACAGACATTCTCTCAAATATATAGTAGATTATTTATTCCTTACAAGAGTCATTGATATTGATAATCTTAAAATAATGACAATAATGAAAATCTAGCAACTGTAAAATTGCAGGAAAAACTTAAAAAACAACAAATAGACTTCTTCAGATGACAGGAGTATGCTAATGCTAAGACAGTATGCTAATACTCCTGTCATCTGAAGAAGTGGGTTGTGCCCACAAAAGCTCATGATACCATCTCACGATACCATCCACAGTTAGTCCTTGAGGTGCTACTAGACTATTTGTTGTTTTTTAAGTTTTTCCTGTTACAGGCTAATTCGACTATTCCTCTGAAGCTTTTGTAAAATTGCAGTTACCTTCGTAGTGCTAATCCCCAGTCTGTTGACATCACTGGAATTTAGGGTCATACTAAGAAAAATTCAGTTGAAGTCCTTACTGTGTCATAAGTATCTGCAGTTTTGAGTTGCTCTGCATGATGTGTTACACATTCAGAAAGGCCACCATCAGCATTTGGCAGGTGTGTTTGACAATCTTTTATTACTTTTTCAGTTTAAAAGGTGTGTTGTGAGGGGTAAAACCGCATTTTGACACAGAAGTAGATAACAGCTGTTTGGGCCTTTGTTTCATATTATATCCATTCATGTCAAATTACATTTTTCAAGCCCCTCCCCCCACATCCTCAAGAATAGTTGAGTCTGTCTTTAGCAATTCTAGCTCCACAAATTAGAGGGGCCTGCAGCTATGGACTGTGGATTGTCCAAAGGAGAGAGGCAAGGATGATTTTTTGGCTTCTGGATTGGTGTTATATTGTGGTGTGATAGCCATAAAAGCCACCCATTCTTTTGCTGTAAAATTCTGAATTTTTACAGTCTGTTGTTTTTTCAACAATAGCAGTTCAACCAATAAGCCCTGAATTTACCAGATGTTATTTTTCATCTGTAAAATGTCAATTTCAGGAATAGAGAAGAACTTAACAAAAGATGAACAACATTTGATGTGACTTTTAAATGAAAAACGGTATTTTATTGCTAATACATTATAGGTAACATGGAATGAAATAAAGTTCCATTTACCATTGATCTTTGCAAGGAGTATGATAAGGGAGCTACTCTGTGCGTTATGTTGATTCAATTAGAATACAATCCATTTTTCATCAGATAGATTTATGTTTTTATAATACACTAGAGAAAAAAACATAATAGTATACAGTATGTATATTTAAAAAAAATAGAGCAGCATGTGAAAATTATGATCTAAAAGTGTGTAAATCGCTTCTACACTCATTTATGGCCTTCCAACAGAACACTTTTTACAAAATTGTATGTCATGACAAATCAATTATGTTCCACTACCAACAACAGCTGAAATACTTTCAGTATTTTTGTATCATAATTGTTACAATCCTTGTGTTATAAACAGAACAAAAATGACCAACTGTGTGATAAGTTTTTCATTAAGTTTTAAGGGAAAATATGATAAACACTTATATGGAAAGATGTGTATTACATTGAATTTTGACTTTATTGCTATAGCAGTTTATGAAGACAGCCAATTTGACCATTTTTAAGTGCTGCCCTGTGTGCCAAACTACATCTTGGGTTATTTTATGGTGAAATCATGTTTCACTCTTGCAGTGTAGGCTATCATTTCTCTCTTTCTTCATCTCCTTCCTTCCTACACACATTTGAACTTTCTTTATTATATTTGGGTAGAAATATTTTCGGTATGTAATATGGAGTTTTCAGAATTAACACAACTGGTTTACAAATACTCTATCGGAATTAAAAGTTCAGCAGACATCACTGTATGTTCAGCTTTCTTGTAGCTAGCGGAACACCAGGAAATAACTGTATAGAGCTTGAAACCATGCTTATCATGCAACTCTCCTCAAAAGAGACAGTAAAAATGGCAAAAATGAATTCTTAGCAAATAAGTTCTTTGTGTATTTATTCATGTGTGCTTATTTTAAATGGATACATTTTAAACTGCTTTTTACTTCTGACAGCTCTGCAGAGCTTGCACAGCTCTGTAAGAGTGAGGTAGATTTCATTCCTTTTTCTGCATACATAACAGAATTATTTACCAAGATTCCATCAGTTACATCTCTATAAACTCACTGATGACTATGGTTTTGGACAGGTGTCACAAAGAGCCCTATTTGGTCTGCAGAACTGATGCACAAAAGAGGAGGATTGATTCTCAGATCCAAGGTTGCATTTACTGTGGTGACAGTTGGAAAATATGTATATTTCACATGTAAACTTAACACACTTGATGTGGAGAAGATTAACATGGATCTTTTCAACTCCAAATGTAGAGCAACTTTTCAGAGAATAACTAGACATAAAGCTTCAAGTGCTTGCTCGTGTCCATTCAACCTAGGTGTGTGTGCCTGCCACATGCACTGATGCCAGAAGTTTTTGTCTAAGTAGTACTCATAGGGGCTGGGGTTCCCAGCGCCTTCCTGGAGAGACACGCTATATAGGACTCTCCCTGTCCACTCCCTCCTCAGTTCCTTCTTACCATCAGTGATGGTGCTTGGAACAGTGTGCCTTAGCTGTAGCAAGCATTCCCATTGTTTTGCTGATAGTTATAATCAATCTAACTAAGTACTTTGACATCTCAGTATGCCATCATGCAGCAGGCTAGGTTCAGGAATCCTTTGCTGATGCTTCCA